TTAATTGCATTGACTTAATATGAGATTATTGTGAGATTAATGTGAGGATAATGTGAGATTAATGTTAGATTAATGTGAGATTTATGTAAGCTTAATGTGAGATTAATGTGAGCTTAATATGAGATTAATGTGAGATTAATGTGAGAATAATGTGAGATTAATGTTAGATTAATGTGAGATTAATGTGAGATTAATGTGAGATTAATGTGAGATTAATGTGACCTTAATGTGAGATTAATGTGAGATTAATGTAAGCTTAATGTGAGATTAATGTGAGATTAATGTGAGAATAATGTGAGATTAATGTTAGATTAATGTGAGATAAATGTGAGATTAATGTGAGATTAATGTGACCTTAATGTTAGATTAATGTAAACTTAATGTGATTTTAATATGAGATTAATGTGAGATTAATGTAAGCTTAATGTGATATTAATATGAGATTAATGTGAAATCAATGTGAGATTAATGTGAGATAAATGTGAGCTTAATATGAGCTTAATGTGACCTTAATGTGATACCAGTCAACAGCTTTGAATAAAATTTTATTCAGATACATTTCAATTCTCATCATGAGTCTATCTAAAGTTGAACTTTAGTTTAGTTTAGTTAAAATAACTAAATAACTAAATGAGTTATAATAATAATTAAATGTATTTACAAAACATAATTTTTGTAAATTTCGGTTGTAATAAACTTATACATCGTGCCCCAGTATACATTGGAATTAAGTGACGACTTTCGATCCATGAAACATTTACTTTTGAAATTGGCAATACTACAAACTATAGTAAAGTATATTACTTACTCAAAACTATGAAAACCATATATTTTTCTAATTTTGTGATTTCCAAAATGTGGTGTGCCTTTGTGTACAGTAATAACCTGAAAACTCTGGAATAGTATGACGACTTTGAGAATCAAGTTTTAACTTTAAAATGTTCAATAACCATGAAACACAACAATTTTGCAATGTAAACGAGCCCATTTCAGAAAAAAAAACTTTATAAGTGTCTGTTAAAACTGTTTGCTTTGTATCACCATCAAATACACTTAAGTATTGTTATAATGTCGTCGTCCTATTCCATTGTTTTCTGGTTATCACTGTACCTCTTAAGATGACCGATATATTGAGAATGTTTTACCAGTTTTATCTTACTTAAAATAAGTAAAATCAAAGTTGACAAAATTTAATAAATCTTTTTAATTTAAAAATAAAGTTTCCGTTACAGTTATACTACAGAGTGTTCTCTAAATAAATTATTTTTCCGAAAAAAAATTTTATTTGTGAAAATTAATCTATTTTTATTTTTAGTGCGTATGATCTGTACACGAAGAGTACTAGTGTTCCTGATATAGCTGCCTTGAAGCCCTACTATCAATCATTGATTGATAAATATTTACCTGGAATAATTTCGTTTTAGAGGAAGACGACCTTCGAAATAAATTTCAATACAGAAGCTGCCAATTAACACAGTTTCTTTTTTTACTTGTAAACTTGTTACTTGAAAGAACCTTGGTAAGAATTAAACTATAAACAGAAAAGTCNTAGATTGCAATAAAAACTATTGTCATGTTTCGTGGGACACCCTGTACTTGAAACACCAGGGGGCTCAGCAAGCAATAGCTGTAGTGCCAAGAACCCTCTTGTAACATAAATAAACATGTTAATTACAATTTTAATTTTTATGAATGGGGGGGGGGGTTCTGTATAATTATTATCATTAAAACAGATAGGATTGAAACGACCTTGATTACTTTTAATAAAAAAGGGAACAGTATAAAGAAAAGATAACACTTATTATTTGACACTGATTAGGTTAATTACTAATTAATTTGTTGAAATATTCTGTCGAGTATCTAGTTAATAATCGTGTTGTCGTTAAATTCATTAGAAACATTCAGACTTATTACACTAATGTTTCTGTTTAAATTCATCATAAAATATTTATCTTTATTCCAAAAGGTGGCATTTTATCTACGTTTAAATTAATTGTCCGTTGTACATTTTTAGATTTTTTAATTCCTATGCACATATCCATCTGCACCTACTCACTTCACTTTCAAAACCTTCTGGTAATATAGCTGGGGCAAAGCATCTTTAGAGCAGCATATGTTATGTAGTGAGTAAAAATCAATGTTTTCTATTTGTGCATAATTTTGCATATTTTTTCTCTTTTCTTTTGGAAACCTGTATTTTCCAAAAAATTTATTTAAACAAATTTTAACTACACCATTTATATATGTATTTATATCTTTGTGTGAATAAATCTTTATAATATAATATTGCATTCAAACTGTCTTATGAACTTTAATACATTTAATTCTATCATTTTAGTAAATGGTAATATGTTATGATAAATGAAAGCTTCAGTAGTGTGTTCTAAAAAGTCTAAACCTGAAATTATTCTGATAATTTTTTTGTTTGAATTTTTCTATTTTGTTCACAATCAAATAACTATTATTAAACAAGAATGAAGATGCAAAATTCAATATATGAGAGTAAACAAGAGCAAAATACAAAAGTTTTAAACAATTCTTAGGAATCAAGTTTTAACTCTTTTTATAACAAAGAAATATTTTGAATATTTTGCAAGGTTTTTATCCTGCAAATTGTGTTACATTGAGATTTTGAGGTCGCATTTTTCTTAAGGTATCGAATTGGACGATTCTTTTAATCGTTATTTGAGCAATGATGTGGAGGATATCGTCGTTTATCTAACTTGAAAATAATCAAAAATAGACGTTTGGACGGCTCATTCATTTTTAATTTAAAACTGCAGTTAATAATAATTCTCCTTCGATATCCCATGGTGGGAATACCCTTGCAAGATAACTTTCATTAGGGGAATTAATTGCATTGACTCTTAAATTCAAAAGAGCCCACAATGGATATTGAGATCAAGCGTTAAAGATTTCAGTTTTTCCAAATTAAAATTGCGTTGATTTGTTTTATTTGTTGAATACTATGTTTATTATCCCCGCCTAGGATAATTAGTAGAGAAGAATATGGTGTAAAGTTTACAGAAGCAAACTTTTCCCTGGAATAGCTTGACAACCATTGCATTACAGGGGTAATACTAGGACAAAATGAATTATTAACTGTTTTAAATATCTTTATAAACTTAATTTTCTTTTATAATTATTTTTATATGTTATGAATAATCCCTGGCTAATAAGAATGAGTGAAATAGAACAGTATATTTCTAGCAGCTAGGGAGTACTTTACTACTTTTACTTGAATATTTCTAGAAGCTAAAGAGTACTTAACTACTTTGACTTGAATATTTCTAGTAGCTAGGGAGTACTTTGCTAATTTTTTTTGAATATTTCTCGTAGCTAGGGAGGACTTTACTTCATGTACATGAATATTTCTCGTAGCTAGGGAGTACTTTACTACTTGTACTTGAATATTTCTAGCAGCTAGGGAGCTCTTTAGTACTTGTACTTGAATATTTCTAGTAGCTAGGGAGTACTTTACTACTTGTACTTGAATATTTCTCGCAGCTAGGGAGCTCTTTACTACTTATTGAATATTTCTAGTAGCTAGGGAGTACTTGTACTTAAATATTTATAATAGCTAGGGAGTACTTTACTACTTGTACTTGTATATTACTAGCAGCTAGGGAGTACTTTACTACTTATTGAATATTTCTAGCTGTTAGGGAGTGCTTTACTGCTTATTGAATATTTCTAGCAGATGGAGTAATTAACTACTTATAGAATATTTCTAGTAGCTAGGGAGTTCTATATTAATAATTGAATATCTCTAGTAGCCTAGGAGTACTTTAAAACTAGTACTTGAATATCTCTAGTAGCCTAGGAGTACTTTAAAACTAGTACTTGAATATCTCTAGTAGCTAGGGAGTACTTTACTACTTGTACTTGAATATTTCTAGCAGCTAGGGAGTACTTTACTACTTGTACTTGAATATTTCTAGCAGCTAAGGAGTACTTTACTACTTGTACTTGAATATTTTTAGTAGCTTGGTAGTACTTTACTTCTTGAACTTGAACATTTCCAGTAGATAGGGAGTACTTTACTACTTATTGAATATTTCTAGTAGCTAGGGAGTACTTTACTATACTAATTGAATACTTCTACCAACTACTAATTATTAAATATATCTATCAGCTAGGGAGTACTTTACTACTTATTGGATAATTATTTTCCTTTCATATTTTATCATTTTTTATATAAGAATTAACACTGATTGAATTTTAGCAGGGGTTGTAGTTGTAGCTGAACCAATCATGGAACTCGTTGAGCAAGTAGGGTCTGTAGAAAATATGGAGCAAATACTTGATCTTGTGGAACCCTTTACCGCAGCTAATACCAGTGACGAACCTGTAAAACAGACACTACTATCAGAATCAGAATTTAAATCTGAGTTCCTTGAAGATCCTGTTGATAGAATTAAAGATGAATTAGAAGTGAACAAGGCTGAAGAATCAGAACCGGTGGCATTAACCAAACTTTGTGCGGAGCAGCTATCAGATTCAGCAGTTGAACCAGTTGAAGAATCATCGGTTGAATGAACCAGAGATAGAACCAGAGATGGAACCAGAGATGGAACCAGAGATGGAACCAGAGATAGAACCAGAAATGGAACCAGAGATGGAACCAGAGATGGAACCAGAGATGGAACCTGAGATAGAACCAGAGATGAAACCAGAGATGGAACCAGAGATGAAACCAGAGATAAAACCAGAGATGGAACCAGAGATGGAACCAGAGATGAAACCAGAGATGAAACCAGAGACGGAACCGAATGAATCTGAATCTTCAGAAATGAACACATCTGAAAATCATGCAGAACTTGGGGATGTAAGACTAGAAGATTTTAATGAAACTGAAAAAGTAAAATCAAAAATTGTTGAAGAATCCGAAGAAACTGAAAGAACCGGAATGGTCGAGCCTACACAGGATATTATAGGTAGGTTTCACAATAAACATATTTAAAGGGACCATGTCGTCGTAATGTTTAGTAACCCTCCATCTAAAGAGGGGTATCACCCGATTCACACTGATGCCCTTGAGAGCTTAATCTGATCAAAATATGCCACGCTTTTTTCTTGCACGCTTAAGAAATGTTAAATTCTGATAATTTCTCCATTGTCTCAGAAGGAAATATATACTTTCGCAGAGAAACCACAAAAGAAAGTAAACAAAAACATGGATATCTAACTCTTAACTCATGGAACGAAGCAGTTAAAAGTACTACAACTGTCAATCAGCTGTCCACGCTATCAATGAAGGGTCAATTGAAATTACATGTTCACTCCCTTTAAGATCTAAATATTTATCTGCAGTATGTGTTGCAATTGCATACTATTCATGGATCATATCAAAGTATTTCAAATTTACATATTTTTGAGGGGGGAAATATTACTGTTTTTTTCCTATTTTCTTTTTTCTTAGTCTTAATGTAGTTTAGATAATAAAGATACTTGTATGTTTTCTAATGTTAAGGAATTGATTTGAAATTTTGTCAGCCTTGAAATTTTTATAAAAACATATTCCTTAAACTTTTAAAGTAAACCTACAGTTAAAGTTATAAAACAGTAAGACGGGTATAAATTTATAAAACAGTAAGAAGGGTATAAAGTTATAAAACAGTAAGAAGGGTATAAATTTATAAAACAGTAAGAAGGGTATAAAATTTAAAACAGTAAAATTGGGTATAAAGTTATAAAACAGTAAGCAGTTTATAAAGTTATAAAACAGTAAGAAATGTATAAAGTTATAAAACAGCAAGACAGGGTATAAAGGTATAAAACAGTAAGAAGGGTATAAAGTTATAAAACTGTAAGAATGGTATAAAGTTATAAAACAGTAAGAATGGTATAAAGTTATAAAACAGTAAGAAGTATATAAAGTTATAAAACAGTAGGAAGGGTATAAAGTTATAAAACAGTAAGAATGGTATAAAGTTATAAAAACTGTAAGAATGATATAAAGTTATAAAACAGTAAGATGGTATAAAGTTATAATACAGTAAGAAGTGTATAAAGTTATAAAACAGCAAGAAGGGTATAAAGTTTTAACAAGTAAGAGGGGTATAAAGTTATAAAACAGTAAGAAGGGTAAAAAGTTATTAAACAGTAAGAATGGTATAAAGTTATAAAACAGTAAGAAGTGCATAAAGATATAAAACTGTAAGAAGTGTATAAAGTTATAAAACTGTAANCAAAAAAAAATTGCGCAAAACTAAAATTTCGTTTCATGCGCAACTTTCGCAAAAAAATATTTCCGGTTTTGCGCAAATTGCGCAAAAAAAATAGCGCAAAACCGCGCAAAACTCATTGCGTTTCATGCGCAAAAATAGCGCAAAAGTTCGCAAAAAAAAAATTTGCGCGAAAATAGCGCAAATTTTGCGCAAAAGATTTAGCCATTTCGTGGAAACCCGATTAAAAACCGGCTATAGGTAGTTAAGCAACTTCTCTCCAATTCATAAAATTCGGTTCTAGAATTTTAAATCTAATTCGAAAGTTTCTTTCTTCAATATTGTTCCCTTGATGTTTCCGATATCTGAGAATTGAGCTCAATAAAAAATAGCTTTCCCCTCAAACTTATAATTTTAATACAGTGAAACCCTTAATAACGAATACATTGAAAGAATTCATCAAATGTCGTATTCTTCACTTTCTAATAATAGAATGTTGCAGATATATAGTTTTTTAATTAAATGATTATATGGAACTCCTTTAAAACTGTTCCCGCAAATTCATGGTTATTTATTTGTTTTCGCAAATACTGAAATTTACGAAATATAGTATAAAACTCATTGAAAAATTGTCAAGACGACATTTGATAAATTCTTCCGATGTATTCGTTATTAAGGGTTTCACTGTACCTAGTTCAATGTGTGCCATACAAGGTTGAATACTAAGCGAGGTTACTCTCGATGGGCTCCAACGTGCGGAAAATGTCGCCTTCTAAGATAGAAGGATAAAAACCTAATATGACATCACTCTCGCCACTTTAATAAGTGACGTCATGTTAGGCTTAGGAGACGACATTTTCTGAACATTGGATACCATCGAAAAAAAACTTGCCTTATTATACAACCATGGTGCCATGAGCTCTTATACTATATTGTATATTTGTCTTTTCCCCCTTTTTAATCTTATTTTAGAGAAACTATATCTATAAAGTAAAAGTTGTTTGCTGTTTGTCTGTCTGTTTGTTTGTCTGTACTGTCATAACCCATGAACCCCTGGACAGATTTGCCTCAAATTTTTATTGGGGAATTATGTAAAAGTACGGGAACGTTTTTAGCTTATTTTGGAAATAATAAGTTGACTTGTTCAGGGAAAATTTAGTTTTCAGACAGAGTTGGGTTCCTCAGCTTGTAATTAGTCCTAAATACTTTCCTGTGGGACAATATTATAGCGTACCATTTTATCACCTTTAAAAATTGACGGAGACATTAAGAAATATGTCCAGATTCAAATATATTGCTTGATATCTTGTCAATTTTGAAGATATAAAGAATACAGACCACATTTGGGAAAACTCTAAACACGTCTTTATTCCTATCCACTATTTTATTGGGACACCCTGTAGTTTAGTTGCTATGGTTTCCATTGTTGCCTGATTGCATGTATTGTAACATTAAGACTTTGTACTCCAAGGAAATTTTAATCAACAAGATCCCTGGCTGTCACTTGATCAAGAACTTTATAGTTTGAAATTTAACCCCAAAAAGTAAGTGGAGGCGGGTAGGGGGGAAGGGGTATGTGAATCTATTTATTTCCGGTGTCGTGCATCAGATATCAGACAGTTTATCTCCGCTCGCTAGTTTTTCATCTATTTCAACACTAATGTTATACATCAAAAGACATTATATCAGTGAATGTGGGGGAAACAATAAAACAGAGATTTCCTCTCAAATGTCGTCTTCATTTTTTAATGTCTCAAAGTTTAAAGATCATTCGACATAGAGATAATTTCTAATGTTTTTTTTTCAATATTACCACGTTAATAAACATCTAGATAAATTAGATTTTTTAAAGGAGATGGGGGAGGGGGCTGGGGGTTTGGTTCATTAAAAATCAAAATTGTTCTTATTTACTCCACGAGCTTAGTGCACATGGAAATATTATTTCTAGACAAGGAAGTAATTAAGGAATCAGAAACAACTTTCTTTAAAAACGTTCATTAAGAAACAGAAAACTGTGGAATAGGAATATGACATTAAAGCTATAATTATGTTTATTTGATATGTTTACTGACCAGTGATTTAATCACTTATTAAAGTGGAATGGATCTGTTTACGCTGTACAAATGCTGTCTGAAAGTCGTCTTCCTACTTCTCAGTTTTCTGGTTCTCATACTATGTAAAAAATTCATATATTTTTTTTCAAGATTGAAATTTGACAAAAATTACGTTTTGTTGAAGTTACTTCTTGTTGTTTTCTTGTAATAATCTATTAAAGACAATTTTGCAAATAATATTCTTTACTCTCATTCTTTCATTTCATGACTTACCAAACAGGGGCGAAAAATAAGAAATATGGAATCGGTATGGAGAGGGGGGGGGTGTTATATTTCTGGAAATTTTTTTTGACGTAAAAATCGTTTAATTTGATTCAAAAGTTGTCTTTGCTTTATTTTTATTTCGAATATATATAATCAACTATCTATCTATGTATAAATTTAGCTTGTCTGGGTGGCTGTTTGTTTGTATCCAATAAACGTCAAAAAGGCTAAACCGATCGGGGCCTCAAGTGACCCCAGGGAAGGGTTATGAATGATCAAAATTTTAAAAATTTGTGTTTAAAAGTTTTTATTTTTTGTAAAATTTAAAAAATGCGCGAAAAAAATATTATGAAATCCGCAAACTTTTTTGTTTTTGTTTCACACTGTACAAAGAGAAGATGCTCACAGATAGAGCCACAATTAAAAGTTGAAATAAAAGTATGGCGCGAAGCGCCCTAAAAGCCTAGTATATATATACTTTGCTTGTTTGGGTGTTTTTTTGTTTGTTTGTAAACGTCAAAACGGCTCAACCGATTGGGCTAACATTTTCTGTGGGACTTCGCATGTCCCCCCAGGGAAGGTTTATGAATGATCAAAATTAAAAAAATTAGCCTCCAACAAAATTCGATTGTCATTAAATTTTCAAAATCCCAAATGTTTTATAAAATCCGCTTACTTTTTTGTTTGTTTTTGTTTTACAATGTATACAAAGGGAAAATGTTAACAATTTTCATATTTCCGTTGCCCCCTGGTTGCCCCTGGCAGAAAGGTTTGACGTAAAAAGAATTAAAATAGTTTAAGGTTGAGGAGAGGGGAATAAAACCAGTTGAGTGCAAAACAACAAAAGAACAGGATCATTCTATTTTCTTAATTTCAAATCAATTTTCTTGAATTGGATATTAAGGTATATAGTTTTTACCACCACTATAGAATAGTAAATATTTCCATTTAGTGTATAGCGCCGATTAAAAGATTTATCTCTAGTTCAGAATAGACACCAAACACATGACTGAACCCTGATTGGATCAGGCGCTAATAGACTCGGCATACTAGGCCAACATTACCCACCCTTGATTCCCAACAGTGGGACATTTAGTTACTATATCGTCCTTTGGAATAATTAAGTAAAATAACGACTTGCACTATGTTTTCGTGAAAAAAACGTGCATTTCCATCTCAAAAGACGAAACAATTGTATTTAAACCGAATATTCTTAAAAATAAATCGGCTTTTTTCTGGTCAAAGTTATATTTGAAAAGTAAGACTGAAAAACTATAAAACAAAAAAGTGACCGATCCATTTATCCCAAAAAAAAAAAAAAAAACTTCACGTGATATCAATTAAAACCGTGACTGCAAGGAGATGTCAAAAAGAATAGTCTATATTTTTCATTTATTTATTCTGTAACTTTGGTTGATTTTTAATATAAAACTTTGTAAAATAAAATGAAATTTAGTTGTCGTATAGTTCTAAAAGTATACAGCATGGTTTTTACAAAAATAAAAAACACAATGCTTGATCATGCACTTTGTGCTTCTTTTTTAAAGGGACTGTAAGCGTAATTTTAAGTGACCCTCCATACAAAGATGGCATGCAAGATTCACGAAGGTACTCCTTACAGCATGAAAACCTAGCTTTGTCTAATCAATTATGAATTAAATATATATGAATTTTTATCATTTTGAAAACTGACTATTTTCACCTGTGGTTTATTAAGCAAAGTGACTTGCAGATTTCTACTGCAGGAAAATATAAAGAAATTATCAGAATTAAAACTTTAAAACCAATAACAACAACAATATCTTCCACATAAAGGTTTCAAGGGTTTCATGGAGGATTACTAAAAATTATGTTTACATGCAAGTCCCTTTAAATAATACTTTTGACTTACGAATGTTAAACCTCGCCCTCAAATTTAAAAGTGCCTATATTGGATATCGAAATCAAGTGTTCTCGATTAACAATTCTTTACACAAAAGTTCTGGCCTTTCACACTACATAAAAAATACATTCTCTTCTCTCTATGTTTATATGTTAGCCAAACGGCTGGACCAAATTGGCTGCCATTTTTTTAAAGAAACCCATATGGGTACCCTGGGCCCTGGGGGTAACATAATCTAAAAAACAAATTTTCAATGCTCAAAATTTTCAAAATTCAATTGCAACGGCGGGCACTTCAGCTGGTTAATTATAACTTCTTTTAGAAGGTGAATCCCCCGATGTATTCATGATTTTAGAAGACGGATGCGAACCTCTCACACAAGGTAATAAAAATCCTTAAAATTTTCCTCACCAAAAATAATATTTTTGTCAAAGGACAAAATAGATATTATTTTGACAAGCCAAGTACGTATATATAAAGATTGGGTACAGACAGAGGATTGTTAATCGTTTTAAAAAACAATAGATTTTCCTTTGTTTTCGTTTTTCCACAAACAATCGTTTCGTTTTTAGAAAAAAAAACGATGGGTCACAACGAACGAACCACTCGTTTTTAACCTAAAAAAAAGAAAACAAACAATAAAACAATCATTTTTGAAAAATAATTCGCAATAGAATCTAAGTTCTATGAAAATTAATTTCCATTTTTGTCAGGAAGATATGTTTAGGAATGTTGTCTTAACAAATTAATCTTTTTCCAAAACGTTTGATTTTTTTGTTGTTTTTCAAAAATCGAAATTAGTTTTTTCAAAAATAAAAATAAAATTCCTCTGGCAACGCCGAGCGTATTATGTATATAATATGTATATTATTGTATATTTAAAGTTAATACAGGGAGTGTTCACGAAAAATGAAAGTGGGTATAGGCTTACGGCGAAAAATAAGCGCCTTTGATCGCTACTAATCTTACTTCTATCTGTTGCGTCAATAAGGAGAAAATTGTTATTAACGAGTAACGACTCTTGCTGCAGAACGTAGCGTCCATAAAAACTCAGAAAGTTGCAACATTCAGCTCGGATCGTAAAAAACCAGATAGAAGTAAGGTTAGTAGCGATCAAAAGCGCTTATACTTCACCGTAAGCCTATACTCTTTTTCATTTTTTGCGAACACTCCCTTTAAGGTTGAAGTCAACATTGCAGTGTAATTTCCCGCTCCTGGGTATAATTAGATTAGAAATTGTATAATAAGTGTTGATATTGATTATACAACCAACGCATTAATAATAATTCTAAAATCTTAAAGCTGAGTACCATAAATACGCAGTTGTATTTGGTTCTTCATTCTAAAGGCTCTGACATAAATGCTCTTAAGCAAATATTGACCGTTTAAGTTTTTTGTGTCCATTCCTCATTTTTTCAAAAATTAAAAAAGTTCGTTCTAAAGGAAAAGAAATATCTTTTATGATTTATCTAGAAGAACTATAAATTTCAGTTTTAGTTCGATTGAACAGAAAATATTAACTTTAATTAAACTGTTTGTTTTTGTTTTTCTTCAATAAACTGGGTTGATCCCTTAAATTTTTACGTTGAGAACCAGAAACTGTGAAATAGGAAGACGACTTTTTGACCCAAGTTTCGATTTTAAATAGTCCAATGAATGTAAGACAGATCCATTTTATTTAAAACGGGGTTTAAGTCACTGGTAATCCATTTGGTTTGTAACATAATCTAATACACTTAAAGATTATTTAAATGTCGTCTTACTATTCTTTATTTTCTGGTTTTTACTAATTTTCCAATAGTTTCGTTCAAAAGCAGAACTTAGAAAATTATTTTGAAACCCTATAAATCAGCTGTTTTCATCCTTTCATCGTGATTTATTAATATTTAAGTTAAAAGGTTTTGTTCTCATTAAACAATCTGAGGACTGTCGACTACATTTCAAGTGACCTTTCATTATTGTAGAGAGGTACATCAGATTCACAACGCTACACTTTAAACTTTCGTCTGGATAAGGATGAGGGAAATATTCTTATTAAATTACCCTCGAAAATTAACCATGTGACGTCACTCGATGTACAAATGTGCAGCCTAAACTAAGCTGTACAGTTCATTTCAAGTACCGAGCCGACTTTTAACCAGCTAGAGTAAGCAGTACAGTAGATATATGTAGGCAACCAGGACAGTACACCAACTGAATCATCCTCTTTAGGTGCATTCTAATGGAGAGTGTGTACGGTTTCGTTCAACTCCAGAAATTCTAAATTTCGTCTACATAAAAATCCTAATAATTCAGAACCTGTAACAAGCGCAGGAGGTGGTGCCACACAACACGTGGACAACATAAATATAACTGAAGACGGATTGGGAAATGTTACAGCTATTGATGTAGCTGCAGCTCTGGATGCAAAGGTTCTAGAAGATCAAGCTGAACTTATTTCTGAACATATTATCAACGAGGTGGTAGCTGAAGAACCAGGTAGGATACAGTCGTCATCCTAAACATCATGATAAAGAAGACGACTTTCTATTTGAATTTTAAATTCTTCCATGCTTTTAAACAAACACATAAAAATGGAGACAAACAGAGACTGTCCATTAGCAGATATTTTAATGTTTACTTGTAAACTTGTAATTTAAAAAAGTTTGTTAGAATTAAAGGATAGATAGAAAAGTCGTCTTCATTGTATTAATATAATCGCCGACAATTGTACAGTGATACAGGGATACAGGGGTAGAGGAAGCACATTAGCTTTGAAATCATTTTTGGGTCAAATATTTTTTCTTGAATTCGAAAGTTTTTTTAACCAATATTCAAGATCTAATTTCTTCTGGATTTAAGAAAATCGAGATTTATTTAACAATCTTTTCTTTCTAAATCCCTGTAAGATTACAATCCAAATTGGAAAATTTAAAGACAAGTTTGAAGTTGTTTATGTTTGTTGAGACTCTCTCTCTCTATGATTATTGGAGACCAAATTTAATCGCTTCGTTGCCTAATGCTTTTTTCTTAAAAACAAATTTAATGAACTGCTTAAAGAGAATATAGACGTAGTTTCAAGTGTACCTTCATGTATAGAGCTGAGTGTGTCCGTACCCGTTAAATCAAATCTGGATATTAACAAAAATATATAATCTTTTTATCTTGAAAAAGTGACGATTTCCTTCTTTGACTCTGCTGCAAAGATTCGCAAGTTTGTTCTATAGAGAAATTAAGAATAAAAGTTATCAATTTTTAAACAAAAAAACAAGGATATCTTCATTATTTATACTTAGACAAAAGGTTCAAGGTTACCGTTGTGAATCAGGCATATAAATCTAAAAATGGAAGGTTACAGAAAATGTTTTCTACCTTGTATTCATAAATTAAACCTGTAAATACATAATTTCCAATGAACCTTCGATTAAAATAACATTACCAGGTTTCACAATAGTGAGACATGATAAAGAGGCTGTAAGCGTAATTTCAAGTCCCCCTCCAGGCAAAGATAGCAATGCCCGATTAACAACGGTATCCTTAAAACCTTAATCTGATAAAAAATGTGCAAGATAATGTTGTCTTTCTGAATAGAAAAGTGTTTATTTCCAATAATTTCTTCATAATTTCTTATAAATGAGAAATGCGCAAGTCACTATGCAAATAGTCCACAAATGAAAATAAACAGTTTAAGTAAATTAAAACAGAAAAATATAATTTTTACTGGAACAGACAAAGCTTTCAAGGGGACCTTGGACATTGCCATCTTTACATGGAGGGTGAAATTACGCTCACAGTAAGATTTGTATATATTGTAAATTTGTGTAATCATGTAAAGTTGATCTTATTATAAATCATTTTCCGGATTAAAATCTGAATATAAAAGTTTCTGTTGAGGATATCGAACTGAGTTTAAGCAGTTTAGTCTTCTAGGTTTTATTCTAATCCTTAATATTTTTTAATCCTTTTCAAATTTATAAAAAAGGTTTCCAAAAAAATCTATGTAATGGGAACAGTTTTTGAGGCTTTTTCTACACTAAACAAAATTGATTTAAGAGTTTTAATTTTGATTTTAGAAGATGCTTGTCAGGAATCCATTAATAATTTGGACAGCAATGGATCAGTTAAGACCGTGATAAGGAAGAATATGTTTTTTACATTTTATTATTATATTTTTTAATTCAACAGGGGCAGAATTTGTGAATGCATTAAATAATGAAATACAAAATGTGAAATAAGGGTTTGCATTTGATATTTTCTATTTTGGATGAAATTTTGATTAAAATTGTGAGAATCAGAAAATCAGAGTTTGTGGCAAACATTAATAGTTTTTTTTTCTGTATATAAAAAAACAAAAGGGTTTTGTAATCGTAAATTCATAACAGCTATAACTTTAGTAATTTGTTTGTTCTCTGGCATTTTTCTCTTTTGTCGACAACAATCAGAACCGCAGTAAAAAAACATTTAAATATTAATAATCTAAAATGCAAACCCATGATTTAAATTGTTGTTCTGTATATATATAAATAATATTAAAAAGTTTAATCAAATAATTAATTGTAAATATCTTTTAAAAACATTTCACTCTGATTTCCAGGTTGACGGAGAATGGTTCAGGGGAAGTTTCTAAGGTATAAAAATATTTAACCACCCTTTCACGAGTCCTAACGACAAAGATGATGCTCTTAAAGGGACTGTTGGCTTTATTTTAAGTAATCCCCTTGTAAACTTTTTCGCAAAATTATATGTCTTGCAAAAGGAAGCGGAAACGGTGCCGAAAAAAGCGATTTTTTAGCGAACGGAACCCGAAAATATGCTAAATTTACCCGGAACGATTTCCCAATTTCGCTCGAAACAAACTTTGGCCTCGACACATTTTATCTAAAAAAACAACTGTTGTTAAGCTCTGGATGTTTTAAAGGCTAACTTGGTCAAGGGAACCCGGAAGGGTAGATATACACAAATTCATTCTCTGTGAAGTGATAATTGATTATTTGATTAATTGAATTAATATTAATTCTTTTTAGCATAGAAGATATTCCTTCTTAATCAACCTTAAACATAAATGACTTAAAATTCGGTTAAGGAAATAGTTTGATTTTTAACTTAAAATTGTTTTAATACTTTATATAAAACTATTATAAGTTTTAATGAACTTTTAGAACTTGTCAACAGTTTAAAGTTTTACTCATCGGAATATCAGTTCTACAAAAGTTAATCTTAATAAGGGGGGGGGGGGCAGAAGGGACCTCAGATGGAATAGGAAATAGGTATTGAAGATTTGAAGCGGAAATGAACTATTTAGTTGTTATTTCTAGCATGCAATAGAATTCAACATTTTTAAGTTAGAAAGAACTGAAAAAATTGCTTATTTTTATTGGAAGTAAAATAATTTTTATAACAGGAGAATAATAACACGGAAGAGGATAAAAAAACACAAGGGGAAGAAGCTGAAGCAATTAGGATAAAAGAAGAAGAAGAGGCCAATAGAATAAAAGAAGAGGAAGAGGCCAATAGGATAAAAGAAGAAGAAGAGGCCAATAGAATAAAAGAAGAGGAAGAGGCCAAAAGGATAAAAGAAGAGGAAGAGGCCAAAAGGATAGCAGAAGAAGAGGTCAAAAGAAAAAGAGAGAAAGAGGCCAAAAGAATAGCAGAAGAAGAAGAGACCAAACGGCTTAAAGAAGAAGAAGAGGCAAAAATAATTAAAGAAGAGGAAGAGGCCAAAAGGATTAAAGAAGAAGAAGAGACCAAAAGAATAAAAGAAGAAGAAGAAGCCAAAAGAATAGCAGAAGAAGAAGAGGCTAAAAGGCTAAAAGAAGAAGAAGAGGCCAAAAGGATAGCAGAAGAAGAAGAGGCTGAAAGGATAGCAAAAGAAAAAGAGGCGAAAAAGCTAAAAGAAGAAGAAGAGGTCAAAAGAATAAAAAAAGAAGAAGAGGCCAGAAGGATAAAAGAAGAAGAAGAGGCAAAAATAATTAAAGAAGAGGAAGAGGCCAAAAGGATTAAAGAAGAAGAAGAGACCAAAAGAATAAACGAAGAAGAAGAGGCCAAAAGAATAGCAGAAGAAGAAGAGGCTAAAAGGCTAAAAGAAGAAGAAGAGGCCAAAAGGATAGCAGAAGAAGAAGAAGCCGAAAGGATAGCAAAAGAAAAAGAGGCGAAAAAGCTAAAAAAAGAAGAAGAGGCCAAAAGAAAAGAAGGAGAAGAAGAGGCAAAAATAATTAAGGAAGAGGAAGAGATCAAAAGAATAAAAGAAATAGAAGAAAAGGCCAAAAGGCTAAAAGAAGAACAAGAGGCCGAAAGAATTAAAGAAGAAGAAGAAGAAGAGGCCAAAAAGATTAAAAAAGAAGAAGAAGAGGCAAAAAAGATTAAAGAAGAGGAGGATGCGAAAAGGATAAAAGAGGGAGAAGAGGCACAAAGAATAAAAGAAGAAGAAGATTCCAAAAGGTCGAACGAGGAAAAAGAGGCCAAAAGAAAAGCGGAGGAAGAAGAGGCCAAAAAGCTCAAAGAAGAAGAAGAAAAAAAACATCTGAAAGATGAAGAGGAAGGCAGAAGAATAAAAGAGGAGCAGGAGATCGCAAAAAGTAAAGAAGAAAAAGAAAAAGAAGAACTAAAAAAAGAGACAGAGAGAATAAAACGTTTAGAAGAGATAAATAAGATAAAGGAGGAGGAGGAGAAAGAGGTGAGGAGAAGGATGGATGAGATGAGGATGAATGAAGGTATCCTCCAGGAAGAGGAGGATATGAGAGGACAGTTGAAGATTGCAACCTGGAATTCAAGTTTTGATGTTTTAGGCGAACTTGTTGATTCAGGAACTAAAACATAAATATTTAGATATTTTAGGATTTTTATTATTTTAGGTAGATACAGGGTGTCCCACTGAAGACAACAGTTTCTTAATTGCAAAAAGTATTGTCTAAGACCAGAGTTCTATATCTTTTCCTTTTTTAATTTTAGGATTCGCAGAAAATAAGAAAACAATAAACTTACTCTTTTCACATATGACATGGACGACTTTAATAGTTCGTCTCTCAATTTTCACTGAGCATGGACGATTTTTATAATTCGTCTCTCAATTGTCATTGAGTATGGACGATTTTTATAATTTGTTTCTAAATTTTCATTGAGCATGGACGATTTTTATAATCCGTCTCTCAATTTTCATTGAGCATGGACAATTTTTATAATCCATCTCTTAATTTTATTGAGCATGGACGATTTTTATAATTCGTCTCTCAATTTTAATTGAGCATGGACGATTTTTATCATTCGTCTCTCAGTTTTCATGTTTACTGCATGGGACAACCTGTAACTTTTATTACATTAATTTCGACGCACATCGATTTCTTTTTCAATGAAACACTGTTTTGGTTCGTTTTTGGTTTAGATTAATTTTTTTTGTTTTTTCAATATTATTTGAAATTTTAGTTTTTAATTTTAGTTTGAAAGAACTCGAAATTTTACAAACACTTCAACAGTTTGTCATGAATCTTAATTTTCTAATGTAATGGTTAGACATATGTTTTATTTGATTAGAAATCTATTCTGTTCCTAATTCTAATATTAGGTCTGGTAGATCAAGTGCTACTGTAGCACTAGGCAGACAGATATCGAAGGTATACAATTGGATTATCAATAATATTTAAGGGCTTGTCAGTAAATTAAGAACTATTTGTATTTCTAAGTTGTTAATGTTTTCCTATCCGTTTAACTGAAATGAAATGTAAGATATTATAAAACTATAAAACATTGATAAATACAATTTTTAAAATAACTTCATATAGAAAGTTTCCTGAATGTAGTAAACTAAGACAAGAATTAAAATTATATCTACGCCTGTGTCTCCATTTTGATGTCAGCTTAACTGGGTAAACGGCTGGACCGAATGGGATTAGGAAACCCATGGGTACCCGAGAGATAAAAGAATCTAAATTTTTTTTTTCAAAAATCTGATTTTCTTCCTCAAAATTTGATTTTTTTAAACTCCACGGGCGACGCCGGGCACTTTAGTTAGTATCATGTAAGTTGGGAATACTTTAACACTTCACTTTCAAAACACATATGAAAAGTTACAGGCCCAAATATCAACATTTTTCAAACCAAAAATTATTTATATATTCAGTTTTATGTATAGTTTTATATACAGTTTTATTTATAGTTTTATATATAGTTATAAGCTTAGGATTTACAGATCTTTAAAAAGTGTTAAATGTCTCCATTGAATCCGAAAGAAGTTTTCCACAACACTGCATACTCAGTTCAACTACCTTACACAGCCAGTCACTCCCTTTAAATTGTTTTTAAAGAAAGTAATTGATGATGATTTTCTGAGGTTATGAAGATCCACCAAATGAAATATACTTAAGTGAAAATCAGAATAATTTGATGAAAAGTCCTCTTTACTGAAGGTTTAAAGTTGAAACGACAAATATATAGATTTGGTAATTTGTATTGGTTATGTTATAATGGATACAGCTCTTAGAGGGGCTTATAGTTCATAATTATAAAGGTTACGAATTATAAACATTAAGCTATCTGAGCTAAAGGGCCGCTGCTTATTATAATCTTGTCCCACGAATCATGACAGTTGGTGAGAATTTAAAAATGTCTTCTTCCATAGATTGTTATGTAGTTTGAACCCCAAGAGAATAATATAAAAATGTTCATGCCAGCCATATTATAGTAAAATTGATTTCAAAGTAAAATATATTTTAGTAAAAGATTTTTTAAACTAAATAAACTGCAAAAAGTTGATAATATATAATACAATATATGGGAGAAGACTTTCAAAACTATTCACAAACCGTCATGTTTCGTGGGACACCCTAGAGTTCTAATGAGATAGGAGCTAGGGAGGAAGCTGTTTATTATATAATCTTGTTTATAGAGTTCTAGTGACCTAGGAGCTAAGGAGGTATAGATGCTTATTATATAATCTTGTTTATAGAGTTCTAGTGACCTAGAAGCTAGGGAGGAAGCTGTTTATTATATAATCTTGTATATAGAGTTCTAGTGACCTAGAAGCTAGGGAGGAAGCTGTTTATTATATAATCTTTTTATAGAGTTCTAGTGACCTAGGAGCTAGGGAGGTAGCTGCTTAATATATAATCTTGTATATAGAGTTCTAGTGACCTAGAAGCAAGGGAGGAAGCTGTTTATTATATAATCTTTTTTATAGAGTTCTAGTGACCTAGAAGCTAGTGAGGTAGCTGTTTATTATATAATCTTGTATATAGAGTTCTAGTGAGCTAGGAGCTAGGGAGGAAGCTGTTTATTATGTAATCTTGTATATAGAGTTCTAGTGAGCTATCTGAGCTAGGGAGGAAGCTGTTATTATATAATATTGTATATAGAGTTCTAGTGAGCTATCTGAGCTAGGGAGGGAGCTGTTTATTATATAATATTGTATATGAGAGTTCTAGTGAGCTATCTGAGCTAGGGAGGGAGCTGTTAATTATATAATATTGTATATAGAGTTCTAGTGAGCTATCTGAGCTAGGGAAGGAACTGTTTATTATATAATATTGTATATGAGAGTTCTAGTGAGCTATCTGAGCCAGGGAGGGAGCTGTTTATTATATAATCTTGTATATAGAGTTCTAGTGAGCTATTTGAGCTAGGGAGGGAGCTGTTTATTATATATTATTGTATATCGAGTTCTAGTGAGCTATCTGAGCTAGAGAAGGAACTGTTTATTATATAATCTTGTAAAAAGAGTTCTAGTGAGCTAGGAGCTAGGGAGGTAGCTGTTTATTATATAAT